GCTTGTGCTCTCGGCTTAAGACCGAAGCATAAACCGGCCATAAACCGGCCATTACGGAACTCAGCTACAATCGACCCCCAGGAAAAACAAAGTGCAAAATGGTTCTAAAAGTGTAATTAAGCGTGCAGACGTTTAGCTGACGTATACTGACAGGATGGAAGGAAGATAAATATCTCTGTTATATTCAATATATTTTTTATCCATATTTCGTAACCGTTAAGAATTTTCCGAAAGGATTTGGCGAAATGTTATCACTAGGATGTTTACTCTATTATGGAGTAGTACTGGGTGTATTTATTATAATTTTGGTATGTTAAGGTTAATCATCTTGCACTCAATTTTTATAAGAATATACCATTTTATTTATATATTTAACAATTTAAGAAACACTTTTTTGTGATATGTTACATTTCTAATAATATAATTTATTATCTATAATATATACCTATATATATCTATAATTTATTACCTATAATATAATTTATTATCATGTAATGTTTTTTTACAAAAAAGTAATTTTAAATGTAAATTATTTCAGCTCTGTATAACATTATATATTACAAGTGAACAGTACCCAAAAATTTGGAGGGATAAAAATGAAGAATTCTTTTTTAATTCTCAAATAAAAAAGAAAGAGGCATTTCCTTCATTACATGATCCTTGGGATGTACATCTCAGTGTCATTATACCTGCTTACAATGAAGAGTACAGATGTAAGATCTATTGCACATATGTTATTCATATATTACAATATTTATGTGTTATCCATATATTTTTATTTAATAGTACCACCAATGCTGGAGGAATGTTTGGAATATTTAGAAAAACGTGCAAAATCTGGATTTACTTATGAAATAATAGTAGTTAGTGATGGTAGCACTGATAAGACTGTTGATGTCGCACAACATTACGCATCAAAATATAATACTTTAAGAGTATTGGATCTTGTTAAAAACAGAGGGAAAGGTGGTGCTGTAAGATTGGTTAGTCAATCTAATATATTAAATTAAGTTCTGATACTATTAGTATAATTTCTGTATTTTAATGTAATTTATAATTGTGTTATTTAATTAGTTATTTTGATTTAAGGGTATGCTAAGCGCAAGAGGTAGCGCTTTATTGTTTGCAGATGCAGATGGAGCTACTAAATTTCATGACCTAAAAAAATTAGATGAGAGTTTAGTGGATGTATTAGGATGTAAGTTATATTTAATGCTTGAGGAGAAATAATTGTGTGTGAGATTTTATATAGTATTATTTACCTCATAGATTATAATTATTCATAATTATTTTAATATTCCAATGTTAGCATTATTGATCTCTAATAAATTTGTTTTAGTTAATTATATCGATAAACCTGAAGAAACAGCATTATCTGATGCAATAATATGTGGATCAAGAGCACATTTAGAAAAAGAAGAAACAGCAAAGCGATCTTATTTTCGATTATTTCTCATGCATGGATTTCATTTCCTAGTTTGGTTATTGTGCGTAAGAGGTATTAGAGACACGCAGTGTGGATTTAAACTTCTAACCAGAAAATCAGCAAGAACAATATTTGAAGCCTTACATGTTGAACGCTGGGCTTTTGATGTGGAAATGCTTTACATAGCGCAGACTTTTAACATTCCTATAACTGAAATAGCGGTAAACTGGATGGAAATCGAAGGCTCTAAAATAATACCGTTTTGGAGTTGGTTGCAAATGGGCAAAGATTTACTCTTTATTTGGCTAAGATACAGAATTGGAGCATGGAGGATTAAAACCAAAATAGTATAATAAAATGAATGTCAAATTTATGACTATGAATGTAATGAATGTAAGATACTTATTCTTATCTGTTTTCTAAATTTTTGTAAACATTTTTTTATAATAAAATATAGTAAGAGTATATTACTATATAATGCAGAATAAACACAAAAGAATGTTTTGCAAGAAGGTTGCAATTCATCGAATAAACTAGGTAAGATTCCTTCATATTTGTTAAATTTCAGATATAGAAGAAGAGATATTTTTTTTATTTCTACAAGTTTTGTAACAGGTTTTCGAATGTATCTATAATATTAAGTTCTATAACAAACTGAAGGAGTGTGAATAGTCTCACTGTGCAAAAAAAAGTGCTATATTGGGTATGACGTCTATCTCATGTCTGCTTTGTTTAGTATTCCCGCCATACACAATAGTGTATGGCCATATTAAAATTTGAACTGAATCGCTTGTCGCGAGCCGAGAGAGAACCATGGTTGCGTTCCGTTTCGCACATTATGCGCACGAATTACATAGAAAACGTTCCGTTTCACTCAATGCGCGCATGAACAGCGCTTAGAATTCCCTAGATCCCCACCACCTGCAGCGCATAATACACGCATCAGCTACCTCAAGTTTGAGTTGCAACAGCTTATGCGTTCCATGCGATTGCGTAATTGCATATGGCGATTGATAGCAATATTGTAAAAAGTGTCAAAATAGAAAGAGTCATAATGGAAGAGTCATTGATGATTCACTACTATTACTGTCACTCATTTCATCAATTAAAAACATTGTCACATTGATAGCGCAATTTATTGTGGAATCCATTTTGATTTTCCGCTTCTAATGCGTTCAATATCGTTCCGTTTCAAAGCATGTATCATGCGCATAGGCTTAGTTTACACCGATTGTTTAGTACGCGTACCAAGTACTAAATCTGCTTCTTTGATTGGCGCAGATTTTACTCTAAACGATTTATACCTATCGGAGAAACAGATTTAGTACTTGGTACGTGTACTAAACAATCGGTGTAAACTAAGCCATAATGAAATGAAACGCAGCCAATGCGCTAAGCATTAGCGATGCGAACGATGCGTGCTATGCGCAAAACGGAACGCAACCCATATGTCGTATATTCTGTCTTTCTACGTATGGTAGATTCAAAAGTAATAACCAATCACATTCGATTGCTACTTAGCCGCTCAGTGAGCGCTTATAGTACTGGATGCACCCATTCTAAAATTTTTAAGGCCATTCTACAATAAATCGCAAATACCCCGTCGCCAGTCGCGAAGAATGACAACTACTAATTAAAAAGCGCTATTTCTAGTTATTTCTGATAAGACAGCATTTGCGACGGGACATTTGCAACTTATTGAAGAACCGGCCTATGAAAGATTCACACTGCGTACGATGTCCGATGTCCAATAATAGAGCTTGTTTTCTAGACAATAAAATATCTCTAGCTAGAATTTCTAGAAAACAAGCTCTATTATTGGATATCGTATGTCGGACATCGGACACAGTGTGAATCCTCCATAAGTGTCCAAAGCGAACGCACCCCATAATTCAATGATATGAACCTTCTATTATGTTTTGATGTCATGAACAACCAATCACCTAATAACAAGTTTCTGCACATTGCGCAATTCAATCGGTAATGGTTAAACGAGTCGTGTGATAAAAAGTGACGTGTTCGAATAACACGCTTTCAAGAAATTTCCTAGTAGCGTAGTCACGATCATTAGTGATTATCGGCACTTGCAAAGCGTTTATAAGCGTTGTTGCGCAAAATATAGTGTCAGTGCTTTATTGTATTGTCATATTTTTCCTGATTTTTTACAAGTAGCGAAAAAAATGTCTTTCATTTCGCCCATGCCCAGTGAGCAATTTCTTTGGGATGTATTCCAAAGGTATATTTATAAATTCTATAAGTTATTAAGAGATATAGACTCTTTTTATATAAGTATTTTTAGATAAAGTAATTCCAATTTTTTTCTTGTGTAAGTTCCAATTTTTTAGGATTTAAGCTTATATGAATTTTCGTGTTGTATTTATCTAACTTTATAATAAGTACACAATTAGTGAACAGAAAGTTCTCTTATTTATGATCTACTTTTTCTTTCTTAGATGTTTTTTCTCTCTCATTATATATTAATAAAATTAAAATAAAAATGTAAAAAAAATTGGTAATTAATATTGATAATATTTAAAGATAATGATTCCCTTTGTTAGAGTGGATAAGGACAGATCTGGAACAATTACTGCAGACGAATTACAACAGGCTCTCTCGAATGGTACATGGACACCGTTTAACCCAGAAACAGTTCGTTTAATGATTGGTAAGATGTGTTGTCATGTTTCAAATGACCATGTAAATTTAATATTTGCTATAATATGCTATAATATAAAATAATATATTATTATTTAAATTTGTAATTTGTTTCTCTATTGCTCATTGAAATCTTTGTAGACATGAATCATCTTACAACAATAGATTAGAAAGACTTTAATCTATTGTTTAGTACTAAAAAATAGATTTATAACATGAAATAACAATCCTTTAATCTATACAACAAATAATTTTTTTAAATTATAGCATGTTGTGCCTTTTTTATGTTTTTAAATCTTATAAAATATAACAAACATAATAATACGATATAATAGTTTGCATGGTCTTTTGGCATTGCTATCATTGTGCTCCCTTGCTTCTGTTGATGCAGGTATGTTTGACACTGACAAAACCGATCCTGCCACAGGTATGTTTGACAAGCATCAAAAGGGTACAGTCAGTTTCCAAGAATTTGGAGCATTGTGGAAGTATGTTACTGACTGGGAGGGTTGTTTTCGATCATTTGATCGCGATAATAGCGGCAACATTGATCGCAATGAATTGAAGACAGCTCTCATAAACTTTGGATATCGACTAAGCGATTACATAATTGACATGCTCATACGAAAATATGATCGTGCTGGACATGGTACAATATACTTTGATGATTTCATACAATGCTGCGTGGTTCTACATGTAAGTACATGTATTTAATGATCTAAATTATTCTAAATGTGACTTTGACCTGAAAGTGTAACCTATTAACTTTATATAAAGGTCTTCATTCATAGATATGTTTAAGAGGATGCTGAAGTCATATTGTTACCGACCAAAACTTCAATTTTCTAAAAAAGGTGGCGTTTTTTATTGCTTTAATAGAATTACAAATCCTTTGGTGTAAATAAAGTACATATGCTAATCTTTCGGCAGTTGGTCAAATTTAAACCAAAAAATAAAAAAATTTTGAAAATTTACCGACAATGTCACCTCAAAGAATTATATCTTTTATATCAAAATTATACTGCTTCAATCTGCAAAACAAGACCATGTGCCGAAGAAGAGCGTATGAAACAATAATGGAAAACCAAAAAAATAGAGCTTAGAGACTTATTTTCAAAACGCCACCCTTTTCCAGATTTATGTAAAGCATGTGTGCAATATAGAAAGAATAAGGTAAAAAAGAGCTATAGATTAGTTCCGAGATTTTGGGATAGAGGCGCTATACAGTTCTCAGTGCTATTTGTCATATACAGAATCTTTTAGGTTAGTTATGTGTGTGTTAGTTGTGCGTGTGTGTGTGTTTGTGTTATGTGCTACGAAACCCGGCTGAAAAAAATGAGTTGAAGGCACTCTGAAGGATAAAAAAGTGTATGTATTATACATAAATTTTGCAACATTTTTGCAAACATTTATATTATTTAATTACATACATTCATATTCTAATTTCTACAAAAT